TAAATGCGATAGAGCGTAGCATTACAATCCAATTGCAGGAAATGGTGCACATCACTAACAACTACGTTAGAAGCTTCAAATGTGCTATGGAAATGTCTAATTCACCTGATTTAAAGTTGGTGATACACGCGGATAAGCGGCCTGCCGGGGAACATCGTAGTCGTTTTAACATACCAACCTGCAATGAAGTGGCTATAGTAATGAATAATCAAGATTGTGGGAAAAGAGATATCGTTATAAAACTTTGCGACAATAGTATACAAAGAATCACAGAAACACTCCGATCATACGATCCTCTTCAATATCCATTAATATGCGTATATGGCGAAGATTGCTATCATTTTCGAATTCCCCAAACACAAGGGAACAAAACAGTGTCATGTATGGATTTCTACGCCTACACTTTTATGGTCCGAGACAACTACTTCAATCATTTACCCGATGTCAAGTATGCTGTTGACATTTATGCAAAGGTGGAAGCAGAGCGCCTTTTGTACATAAAAACACACCACACGCGTTGGTTCATACATACATCTCAGGGATGTAGTTAGTAATGAAAACACCGAAATAACTGATGTAGGAAAAATATGTATTCTACCATCCAGTTTCACAGGAAGTCCCAGTTATGTGAAATGTATAATGATTATTATTACGGCAGTCTGAATTAATTTTGTATCAAAATCCAATCTTATTCTTACAAATCAAAAATAACTTTCAGTTTTTGAGGAATTAAACAAAAGTTAAAAATAACTGTTATTTACTGAGTATTTCGGACTAATAAAAAAAACTTTTATTTCAGGATTTATGAAATAAGGGTCGCAGAATGAATGAAAACTTAGGGATAAATAAAGGTTTTGAGTGGACAAATGAAAATGCGCATTGATTTTTTTGTTTGAAATATATATGAGGAGGAAAGAATATTACTCATACGCCATGCTCGCTTATGTCGCAATTTCATTTCTCAATTCACAACTTTTTTATTTATCTATTGTTTTTTTCATTGGTAGCTTAATTTTTTTTATAAAAGGCTTTAATAATAAAAATTTACAAACACCATATTATCTTTAAATTTCTGCCCTATCAAAGTTTGATATTTTTATTTCACAATGCAAACTTAAAATGAAAGTATTGAAGAAAAATTATCTGATCTAAAAAAAAAAGTTATACAGATCCGTAATCTATGACCCAGTGTAACTTTTTGCCTACTCAAAACTAAAAATACTACATATATGTATATATTTAGATACATGCATGAACGCACCCAAGATGCCATGACCTATGTGAGGACTTATGGGAAACCTGATCTTTTTATAACGTTTACATGCAATCCTACTTGGAAAGAGATAAAAGAAGAACTCTCCCATGGTCAGTCTGCGAAAGATCGTCCAGATCTGGTAGCAAGAGTATTTCGACAAAAAATAATTAAGACTAAGTGAATAGTAAAAACGTATATCCTTTAAAAAATAATTTTAGTGCTTTTCAAACCAGGGTAAAAATGTGTATGAAAGTTGTTCACAAATTGGCAAATTAAAAAACTTTTACAAAAGTATTCTTAGAATAAAAAATTGTAAAACAAGTGGAGGTCCCACATAGCTCTCCTCTAAGAAACTGCAAAGAAAAAACAATAAACATTTAAAGTCCATTTGATTGAAAAACTGATTTCAAACGGTCTATAGAAATTTTTTCAATTGTATCTTTAACTGATATTTTAAAGTATTTAGGGAATCACTCGAGGACTGTATATGGACCTGAATATTTAAAATCCAAAGATGACCGACCAGTATCACCACGGATCCAGACATGTGTGCATGTATTTAAGTCTTTGCTAATAAAAACTGTCTTGCTGGAGTGCGCCGATGTTGGAACAGGTTGTAAAGTTTTCATAATCGTTTTTAAAGTTGAAACGAAACTTGTAGGATCTCCAATTGGTTGTGGTTGAATGAGATCTCCTGGAAGTTGAATAGCTTCTCCATATATAAGTTCAGCAGAAGTAGTTTTCAGATCTTCCTTTAAGGAAGTACGAATTTCTAAAAGCACAGAATTAAGCGTTGAACGCCATACAAATGTTCATTACAAATTAATCCAATCTTTAAAGTGCGGTGGAAACGTTCAACTAAACCATTGGATTGGGGGTGAGACGCTGTGGTGATATTATGTCTTGCTCCAAGAAACTTCGCGAGATCACGAACAAGTGATGATACAAATTGACGTCCTCTATCAGAAATAAGTATATTTGGGCACCCAAAACGACAAACCCAAAAGTCATAAAACGGGTTTCAAACTGTTTCAGCGTTAATATTCATTATAGGAAATGCTTCCGGCCATCGACTAAATCGGTCGATACAAGTGAGCAAATAACTATAGCCTTCAGATATTGGTAATGGACCAACCAAGTCGATATGAACTTCTTTAAAACGACCACTGCTTACAGGAAATTTACCTAGTGGACTTGAAGTGTGCTTTGAAATTTTTGATTTTTGACATGAGATACAACATCTTGTCCGTTCCACTACAACCTTTTTTCATTGAAGGCCAGAAAAATTTCTTCGTGATTAGCTTTTTAGTAGAACGAATGCAAGGATGTGATAAATGATGCATATTTTTGAAAATTACTTTGCGAAATTTAAGTGGTACATACGGTCGTGCTACACCTGATGATACTTCACAGTAAATTTGAATATCACTGTCCGGTAGATTGATTATTCTCAATAAGCAACTTCCTTCAGTCTGCAGCATACTTCGCAGCTCCACTTCCTCTTTTTGGACTTGTGCCATCTCCTCATAATCAATGCCTTTAAAATCTATGGATTCGACCCTGAATAGAGCGTCAGCGACAACGTTATCAGATATATGAACAATATTTGTTGAAAATTGTGAAATAAAATCCAGTTGTCTACATTGACGTGGAGATGCTTTATTTAAATTTTGCTGAAATGCGTAAACCAAAGGCTTGTGATCGGTGAAAATTTGAAGTTGTCGTCCTTCCAAGAAATAGCGAAAGTATTTTACTGCGGAGTAGATTGCAAGCAATTCCCGATCATAAGTACTTTAATTTACTTGAGCGTGGGCAAGCTTTTTAGAATAAAATCCTAGAGGTTGCCAGTCACCATTAACGTATTGCTCTAGCGACGCCCCCATGCCAAAGTTGCTAGCATCCACTTTAAGTGCAAGGACGGCATCTGGTAGAGGAAAAGCAAGAATTGTAGCTTGGAATACTTCGTTTTTTACTTTCTCGAAAGCAGAAACGGTTTCTGTATTCCAAGAAATAGGTCGCATGTCATTCTTCTTTGCCCCAATCAACAAAATATTTAAAGGTGCTTGATATTTTGCTCCATTTGGTAGAAATTTTCGATAAAAATTAACCAATGCTAAAAAATTTATTAAATCCTTGACTGTTGAAGGTTTTGTATAATCCACAATTGCGCTTACTTTCTTTTGCATTGGACCAAAACCAGAAGCGGAAATTTTGTGTCCCAAAAAGTTAAGTTCTGATACTCGAAGATCACATTTTCCAGCGTTGACAACTATACCATAAGTTTTAAATCGATCAAATAGTTGCCAGATGTGCTTCCAGTGCTGACCAGGATCGGACGAAAGAACCAAAACATCATTAAGATAAACAACAACAAAATCAAGACCTCTGACAACTTCATCCATGAAACGCTGGAAGGTTTGAGCCGCATTATATAACCCAAAGGGCATTCTCACAAACTCGAACAGACCGAATGGTGTTATAACTGCGGTTTTAGGGATATCTTCAGGATTTACTGGGATCTGGTAATACGCTTTCATAAGATCAAATTTTGAAAATATTTTATCACCCGCCATTTCCATAGTAAAATCACTCAGATATGGTGTCGAATACTTATCCGACACAGTAATTTTATTTAGTGCTCGATAATCACCGCATGGTCTCCAAGTGCCATCGGCTTTTGGTACCATGTGCAGTCGGTTAGCCCAATTACTGCTGCTTGGGCGAATGATTCTGTTGTCCAAAAGATATTGAAATTCGGCTTTAGCTATAGCAAGTTCTTGCGGATCTAATCTTCTTGGGCGTGCCTTTACAGGGCTACCAGAAACTGTGATATGGTTGACGACTTGATGCTTGCATTCGGTAGAAAACGTTTGAGCAGAATACAATTCAGGATATTCTTTAAAAAGTTCATGAAATTTACTTTCTTCTGATATAGCCTTGATGCAAAGATCCTTTCCTTTCAGAAAACTAACAGAAACGTTAAACCATCAACCATCAAATATCGCAAAAAATCAGCAACTATGATTGGTCTTGATACATCTGCCGAAATGAAATTCTATCTCTAGTTTCGCCAAAGGCCCATATCAAGTTCTAATAACACAGGTCAACAACGTTTTGTTCTAGGAAAGTGTAGGGTCATTTTCGAAGTAATTTTTTGCGTAGAATCCGAATCCGGGGTTTAAATTGCTCTATCACGTCAGGATTTTGAGATATCCTAACCTAAAAGTGCAAAAACGCTGTTTTTGCCCATTTTTGAGGTTATGTAGCTACGCAGATTTTGCTCTTCATAAAAAAGTAAACGTGGTATAGTCTTCCTCTTTTAAATGCCGTTGAGTTTGCTTAAATATCTTTATTTTTCACTGAGATATCGCATTTTGAAGTTTCCATGTTTGTGAATTTTTCGATATTCGAAAATCCATTGAGATAACATGAGACGTGATAGAGCAATTTAAACCCCGGATTCGGATTCTACGCAAAAAATTACTTCGGAAATGACACTACACTTTTATAGAACATTCCGAGCCCATTTTTTTCAGACCTGTGTAATTTTCCACCGTAAGTAGGGATACGAGTGTTGTTAGCAGCGTAAAGAAAGAGTTTACTGGATTGTTTTGAAGACTTGCATGGAAAAACTGAAAGCTCAGCTCCTGAGTCAATCAAAAATTTTACTTTCGTCTTACGCTCAGAAAAGAATAATCGACATTACCCTCGCCATGAGTGGTCGAAACTTCTGACGAGGGCGGAATTAGTTTTTTGAATTTTTGAAAGCGCACGGCTGTAAACACTTTGTTGCCTTCTCAGCAAAACGCCAGTGATACCAGCATAGCCCTAAATCTTTGCTGTTTCGTGATTTTGAACGAGATTGTGATGAACGATGTCTGGATGAATTAACACGATGAGAAGCACGGGTTCGGTTTTCGATCGCTTCTATCCTCGAAATGATTGAGTCTAATTTTGGTAATAAATCGGGTAGTTCGGAAAGAGACGATGCGACAGGACGAGGCAAATCGGATCGCACATTTTTTTGGCCCAATTCAGCAATGGACATCGAAGTAGGAGAAAATTGTTCAAAACTTTTATCTGCCAAGTTCGATAATTTGTCCAATTGAGCAGCTTCTGTGACCGCGAGGATACACTTGAATTTTTCCGGAAGTCTTTCCAAAAATAACGTTCTCAAAACATTATCACTGACCTTAGATCCTGCCAAAGACTTTATGCGGTGCGTAAGATGCGACGGCTTTTGGTCACCCAACTCTAAGTTGTTTAACAGCTGCTTCAGCTGACTCTCCTCGGATTCTGTAAAATGTTGGATGATTCTTGGTTTCATCGCTCTATAACGTCCTTGTGCTGGAGGACTCCTGATGATATCTTTCACTACGTAAAGAATCGACTTATCAAGATGGCTAGGCAGATATTCAAATTTTGTTGAATCTTGGCTTATGCCAGCAAGATTGAAACTGGATTTAATTTGTAAAAACCAGATTTCTGGCTCTTCACGCCAGAAAGGTGGCAGCTTCGGGATGAGTGCCGAAAAAATTTCTCCAGGCAACATGCTACTCTCCATTGAAGTTCCGGAAAAAGACGATGGTATTCCGCTGGATGTTGTAGGCATCATCAGCAAGGGATGTGAACCGGATGCAGCGGCTACCGGCTGGTTGTTGTTTCCAGCATTGTCTTCACGAGTAACCAACGGCATTTTCAAAAATCGGGGTCACCAATTGTTGCTTACTAAGTGAATAGTAAAAACGTATATCATTTAAAAAATAATTTTATTGCGTTTCAAACCACGGAAAAAATGTGAATGAAAGTTTTTCAAAAGTTGACAAATTAAAAAACTTTTACAAAAGTATTCTTAGATTAAAAAATTTTAAAACAAGTGGAGGCCCTATAAGATGATGAGTCTTATAAAAAATGTATGATCTTTGGCTCAATACGTTGCGATATGTATACGATAGAGTGGCAAAAACGAGGCCTCCTCATGCTCATGCTATTGTGGCTTAACAACAAAATACATTCTAACCAAATTGACTTAATTATTTCTGCGGAACTGCCAGATCCCAATACCGATCCAGTTCTATTTCATATCATTAAGAAAACTATGGTACATGGGCCATGCGGAAATTTGAATGCCAATTCTCCATGTACGGTAAATGGCAAATGTATCAAGAGATATCCGAGACAGTTTGTAAATGAAACGCAAACTGGAATAGATGGTTATCCACTTTACAAAAGGAGAAAACCAGGGCATGGTGGAGTGTCTACGAAAATCAAAGTCAACAATGGTATCGAGGTTGATATTGACAATAGATGGATAGTTCCTTATTGTCCACTACTTTCAAAAGCTTTTGAGGCTCATATAAATGTAGAATTTTGTAATTCTATAAAATAAGTTTGCAAGTACGTAAACAAAGGTTCCGATGCGACGATGTACGCTCTTCAGAATCCAAATTTAAACGATGAAGTAACCACCTACCAATGTGGAAGATACAAAAGCAGCAGTGAAGCTTTTTGGCGAATTTTGGGTTTCCCTATCCACGAGCGACATCCTGCAATTCAACAGCTCAGTGTCCATTTAGAAAATGGCCAAAGAATATACTTTAATGAACAAAATATTTTACAGCAAGTTATCGCTCCAAGAAACACAACGCTTACGGCATTTTTCCAACTTGGCCAAATGGATTTATTTGCCAGCATTGCTTTATTCTGAGGTTCCAAGTTATTATACTTGGAAAAATAACAAATGGAACAGAAGAAAAGGGGGAAGTTGTGTAGAAGGACAACCAGATATTTTTAAAGACGAGACTTTGGCAATAATTTATACTGTCCATCCCAACCGGCAAGAATGTTTTTTTTTAGAATACTTCTTTTAGAAGTAAGGGGGCCAACCTGATTCGAAAGATTAAAAACAGTGAATGGTACTGTCTGTCAAACTTATAGAGAAGCGTGTTTGCTCCGTGGACTTCTTGAAGACGATGCACATTGGCAAGCCACTATGACAGAAGCATCGATGTCAAATTCCCCAACAAGTCTAAGAAACTTATTTGCAATTCTAATCCACGTGTGCAATATTTCAAATCCACTTGCACTGTGGCAAAATCATAAGGACAATCTATCCGAAGACTTTCTGCACCTTGCTCAGATTCAAAATCAAAGTCGTGAAATAACATATGATAATAATACATACAGTTTAGCACTTGCTGCCATTGAAGATAAACTATTATCTCTAGGGGGAAATGAGCTTCCAACGTATGGACTTCCTGTGATTCAGAAGAGTACTATTCATAACTTGAGCCATGAAGTAACGCGAGAACTTTGCTATGATGTCGAATCTTTAATCGAACAAACTGAGACGAATATTTCGAAGTTTCTACCCGAGCAACGAGCAGTATTTGAAGCAGTTATGAATAGCGTTGTAAATAATGCAAGTAAACTCTTCTTTCTTGATGCACCAGGTGGCACAGGTAAAACATTCGTTATAAGAACGTTGTTGGCTCAAATTAGAAAAAAAAACAAGCAAATTGCACTCACCGTAGCGTCTTCTGGCATTGCGGCAACTCTTCTGCCAAGAGGAAGAACAGATCATGCTATATTCAAGCTTCCCCTAAACTTAGCAGCACAAGAAACACCTACATGCAATATAAGCAAAGGAACGGGCTTATCAGAAGTCCTAAAGCGATGCCAGATTATCATCTGGGATGAATGCACTATGGCTCATAAAGCTGCTTTAGAAGCCTTAGGGCCGGTTGTTCAATGTCTGGTTATCGCTACCACTACACTATCGACGATTTCGACATCATGCATGTAACATGTGATCGATAAAGCAGTCGTTGTACTTAACCGGAGCTTCTACCTCCGATTTGTGCTAATCAGACATTGAACAACCGGCCCTTAGACCGAACACTACAGGATATTTGCAGCAACAAGAAAATAATGGGTGGTAAAACATTGGTTTTGGCAGGCGACTTTAGACAAACATTGCCTATAATTCGTAGAGGTACACGAGCGGAAGAAATAAGGGCCTGTTTAAAATCAATTCAAGCTGTGTACAAGTATGAGAGCCCATGTATATGGGGATCAATTGTCAAATAAATTCGCATCTAATTTGTTGAAACTAGGAAACGGTGATTTACAAACTGACACTGAAGGCGGAGTTCATCTTGCTTCAATAGCCACCATTGTTGAAACAGTAGAGGAGCTTAAAACAAAAGTCTTTGATAATCTTACGGAAAATTATGCGAGACATCACTGGCTGTGTGAAAGAGCCATTCTAGCTCCTAAAAATGTTACTGTGAATAACATCAACTTTCAGCTTCTGCAACACTTCCTGGTACTTCGCGCAAATCTATAGATACCGTGCCATGCCAGGAGGAAAGTGTACATTACCCAGTAGAGTTTTTGAACTCGCTTGAGCCCTCAGGAGTTCCTCCCCATAATCTAAATTTGAAAATTGGTGTGCCTGTTATTTTTCTGCGTAACCTTGATCCACCCAAACTTTGTAATGGAACAAGACCGGTAGTAAAAAAAATGATGACAAATATAATTGAAGCGACAATTATTACTGGATGTGGCCAAGGAGAATACGTTTTTCTGCCACGAATTCCATTAGATCTCCCGTTTGAATTTAAAAGGCTTCAGTTTCCTTTGAGGCTTAGTTTCGCTATGGCGATAAACAAATCGCAAGGTCAAACGGTAAAGGTGGCTGGACTTCAGTTGGAAGAGCCCTGCTTTACCCACGGTCAATTATATGTCGGATGCTCATGAGTGGGAAGTCCGAATAATCTATATGTTTATGCACCACACAATAAAACTAAAAATATTCTTTATAAGGAAGCCTTAAATTAAATAAAAAGAAAAATTAAGTTCTAAATAGTATGTATCCGTTTTTATGAGGAAGAGAAGGTTTGTATTATCGTTTTTAGATTTTTATTTGATCACCCCGAACGACGTCGGGTACCCTGCTAGTGTTTATTAAAATTACACCTTAAAATACTAGTTAGTGGTTGAAATATTGGAAGGGAACAGAGAAATTGAGTGTTTTGTCAAAAATTACCAAAAATTACCAAAATTCGAGATAACTTATTTTACTGGATACAGAGAAATAATTGCCACCTTTCACTTGACTGGCCGAGATTTCTTCAATTTTACATTTTAGAATTTTTTTGTCGGATTGACAAAGTTGCGCCTGACGGTGATGAATTTGCGAGGAGATGTGCTGCTGTAGTATTTATGAATGAATGATCTTGACCTTGAGAAATATCTTTGCAAAAAATGGGACTAATCCGGGATGACTCCGGGAGCAATCGCAAAGGAGCATACGACTATTACCACTTTTGATCTCTTTATATAGAATGAACTGATCGCTTTTGTTCGAGCATGTCCTATGAAGAGACTAATTGTTCACCTTTATGCCCGAACGGGTATAAAAAGCGACTAGTAACTTTTAAAAAATAAAAATAAAAATTTGCACCAGCTGAGATTCGAACCGGGGTGCTCAGTTTGGTAGGCGAATACTCTCTCTGTGTGCCAATGCCGCACATGAAATTTCATTGACTAAGTGCGTACATATCATTAAATCGTTAATAGTACCCGTTAGAGATGAGTTGGGGACTAATTAATGCCCAATTGTACCCGATTGAGAGTAATCTCGGAATACTCGCTTTAGAGATTAGTCGCACAATTTTTTGCAGGGATGCGAATGCGTTTATGAATGAAATAGTTATTGTTATATTTGAGTATACGTGTAATTATGTATGTGTGTATGTATGCTGCCGTGAGTTGTAAATATTAGAGTCCGACCGATCCCAATTTTTTTTCAGGTACCGATGCCGATTGATCGGCTTATGGGGAAAGAATCGGCCGATGCCGATGCCGATTCCATAAAAAGTTACAAATAAATGTATTAATTTATAAAATCAGTACATTTCACGGAGTTAAAAAAACAAAAGAAAAGAAATAATTGAATTAATTGGCTTGTTATGCAACATTACATACACATGTATGTACATACATACATACAGGGTGTCCCAGAAGTAACGTGCCAAACTTTAGGGGAAGGTAGGTGGGGGGTGAGCTCCCTGATAAACAAAAAATTTTCAGGTAAAAGTGTCACCGTTTTTGAAACATTTACATTTTTTCAAATTTAAAAAAAAATCGTGCCTTCTCATGTGTTTTCTTTAACTGCAACTACAAACCGGGCAATACTTAGTAAATTTTTTATTTAAAATACTTCCAGATAGTTGCCTCTCTATACTCAAATGCAATGTAGTTAAAATATATTAAGGAACCATCATAAAATTAGGACTATTTCTGGATTTTTAACTTTTTGATATTTTCTTCCCCAACTTTGATTATCTCGGGTGAAAAAAATGTACTGAGCTATAACTTTGCATTACATAAAAAAATTGTTCATTTAATAAAGATTTCAGAAAGGTGCCACACTTACTGTTTTGGATAGAAAAAAAAAGTTATAGCAGCTTTTGTGGGTAAAGGACTGAGACACGCTAGAATGTATTTAATAGATTTAAATTGAATTTGCTCTTGTTACCGTCAAATGACATGCTAAATAGTACAAAGGTACGTAATTACTTGCTTCTAACATTATTTTATGTTACCTTCTGGAATTCGGACTAGAGTCTATAACAAGGGCTATATCTATCAATATTTTGTGTGAAGGATGGGTTCACGTGAAATAAGGTA